CTTTTTCCAGCACAGTATAGGTTTATTCTTTGGAAACATTGATCCAAATAAAGACCTAGTATCATCTTATATCAAACAGTAGTTATTTGGCCAACCTTAAACAACTGTAGAAAAACTTGAGGCTCATTAACAGGAAATGATCAGACACAAGAGACAATACAGTTCCCACATTCTCTTGGACAGCACCTCTGATTGGAAAGAACTATGCGTGCTTTTTTTTTTTGGTTCCATGCCATAATGTCCTCATCTATAGGCATTAACATCAATCATGAGACACTCTGTGCATTTGGATAGTCACATATATGCTAAGCATCACTTTTGACATGATAAAATATTCAGAACATGAACACATCAAGGATGTCAAAGTATCTGTCAAGAGAAACCATTTTTCTCTCCATGACTGTGCATTTCCACTAATCTGCATACAACACTGAAACATTTATTTACTGTGATACTACCTCAGAAAGGTTTCATGGGTTACAGAAATAAGCTAGATAGTTGTCTTACTGGTCATCAGTATTTGATCTTCAGGACCCAGTGAAACAGCTCAGTGGCACAGTGCCTACTAGCAAGTGCAGGGTACAGAATACCATTCCAGATACAAAAACAAAAACAGAAAAATTTGATTCTCTTGGATCAGCTAGCTGAATGGTGGATTACAGATTTCTAACACTATGCCTGGATAATCAAGGGTATTTTAAAGGAAATAAGAATTATAAAAGAATTATCATGTCATAATTTTAGAAAGTAGATAAATACAAATATACAGAATTAAAAATATGAAAATAGAATAGGCAGATGAGGGGGTTAAAAATAAACTATCAAACAACTCAAGTGACAGTCAAAATTTTTTTTCTTATAAATGGATCTTTCAGTATGTTTTCAAATGACTCACTGAAACTTTTGGGAAACTCATAAAGACATCATCTGTGCATGTACTGATTCCACAGGATGAACATATTTGTTTTGTGCAGCAAAAATAGAGAAATAAAAACATTGCAAAGAAAAGTTATAGACTCATCTGGCCATAGTCTGAAATACAGTCTTCATAATACAATAATGGGTAAGAAATCTCTGCAGTTTACATCACCAGGTTGATGCAATCTTTACCTAAATCCAGATGACGTATTTATAACTACAGTCAAATATATGGCCATAGAGTTTCAAAGCCAGTAAAGATCATTACTTAGCAAAATCTCATTTTTGCATGTACCTGACTGGTAGCATGGTTCCCTAGCCTGATATCCCTGAGCTCAGCCTAAGCACCAAACACAACAAAAATGTGACAATATGATAATTAAGTTTTTGTTCATGTTTTCAATTTATCAAAGAACACTTTTCTTGGATTTTCAATTTATCAAAGCATAGATAATACCACTTTTGTGTTTAACATAAGAGAAAACTCCATATGCCATTAAAAACTAAGACAAAGGGGGCTGGGGATTTAGCTCAGCAGCAGCATAAGCACCTGCCTTGCAAGCAGGCAGTTGTGAGTTCGATCCCCGGTACTGATAAAAAGGAAAAAGACCAAAAACAAAAAACAACAACAACAACAACAAAAAAAAAACCTAAGACAAAGACAATGAAAATGAAAGTGATAAAATTTAAATTGTACCAATGATAACAAACAAAGATTGAAAAAGGGAGGAAAAAAAGACAGGGACACCTATGTGGCCAAAGACAAGATTAACTGGAAAATGATGTTTTTAATAGTTCTATTGCTCATTAAAACCAAGTCAATATAATAAAGCTACATTATGTCTAACAAGAATAGAAACTGTAAATAGCTCTCAAGGTCAGCACACACAAAATTTACAGAGAAAGCTGAATATGTACTACAAAATAATTTGTAGAGGAAATGGCAAAAATGAATACCTGAGACTGGAAACATAGAGAAAAACTATAGAGAAACAATTAACTTTCATTATGAATCCAGGAAACTCATCAAATTTGAAAAGATCCAGTGTGGACTGTTTGAAGAAACACAAAGTAAAGCCCACTGGCTGTGGAAAGTATGAATAGTGCATAGTAAGATTTTAAGCAATACAAACTCTATGCATCAGCAAGGAGGCTTCTGAGTATTCAAGATATTTTCTCAAATCTTGCTCCCAGAGAAGCAAGTCAGAGCATGTTCTTTGTGGCATCTATAACAATGACAGCAGTGGAGAAGCCTGCTCTGCCCTAACAAAGGCAAGTAAGATGCATAAAATGCTATGGAGACAAACAGTGGAGTCTCTGTGATGAATTACACCTACACACAGCAGTGAAAAAGTAGTATTGAAACAATTACAATACAGGATGAAGAATCTAAAACATTCCATTCTGAGCAGTAAAATATATACATGAGATTGGAGTACAGCTCTGTGATAGAGTACATGTAGAGGGCTTATTCATATCCACGGCCTACAGCCAGTGCAAAAATGTACATGAAGCCATGGGGTATGATCAAATCACGATGGTAAGTTGCACAACATGGAAAGGAAATTCTTCTGTAGCAGGTTCCTTAAGCACAGTACTAGTGATATTTAGGCACAAGATTTCTTTCTAAAAGTTCTGTTTCATGTCTTGTGTGACATTATTCAACATCTTTGGCTGCCACTCCTAAGATGCTTCTAAATCTTCCTCATGACCTATGTCATGATTAAAAGTAAAAAAGCTGAGACATATTTATAGCTTTTCTCATGTGCAGAATTAGCACTGACAAAAATGACGGACAGCAGATGCAGTGGACACAGCTCCTGAAGGACCAGGTACAAGAATGAGCAAAGACCCAAGAGCTACCACATTTCTACCTCTGCACCTCAAACATAGGCTCAAAGACTCTGTCCAAAGTACTCTCTGCTTGTTCTTGCACACCCTCCTCATGTCCTTATCACCTGCACTACATTTCAAATGTCACTAGTGTGAAAATATACAATGGCCTCCACTGTTTGATGCTTCATGATGACATACACAGGAACCTTCAGAGAGACTAAATGCTGCCTTGAACTGAAGCAGAAGCTGTATCTCAGCTGTATCACATGCTGTTCTTCATTGCTGTCCTCCATGAGCAAGCATTGCATTATACATCACTAGTGCACAAAAACAATAAAATTGAAAAGTAAAGTAAGCTTTGCATTAGATAATCTTGCTGTATTTTTCAGAAAATTTTTTTCTGGGCCTAGAGAAAGTTAAACAAGTTGCTAACTATTGGACATAAACCCCAGAATTCATATTTTGTATTGAAAGAGGGTCATTCTCAATTTTTCAGGTCATTTGTAACTTTTGTCACAATCCCCAAGTGACTGAGAGTAAAGGTGTGAACTATCATACATCACTTATGTTTACATTGCCCAAGCATTCAAACCTTGGTACATCTTGGTGTAAAAAAGCATCTCAAACTGAAACTGGCTTAGTGACACATACATATTATGCCTGCATTAAAAGAGTTACAAACACTATTAAAAATTCACACCACAGAGGGCAACTTAGTAACACATGATCTCCAAAATTTTTAGAAAATTAAAAACTTAGACAAAATTCCACAGATTAGTCCCTAAATAAACAAACATAAAAAAACCAAGTATGCTGACCATGGTGGTGTATAGCTGTAGTGCAAGCTCTATGCAGGCTCAGGGAAAAAGATTGTTGTGAATTTGAAGCCAGCCTTCACAAAAGAGGAGGTCCAATCTTAAAAAAAATTAATAGATTGATTATCAAGAATACTTGTAAATCTTCAGTACACTGGAGAGATAGCCCCTGGCATTCCACTTCAGCTATGGTGTTTACATAAAATTTAAACCTATAACAGGGCCAGTTTCCTAATTTTGGATTTTGCCTCAAAAACGATTCCATAAACTGACCAGTAGTAGTAGAAGGCATACTTCTCTATTATTAAATTTCCTTCCTGTCTTCAAGCCTGTGAGCTTTACTCACCACACAGAACAAGCAAGCACACAAATGTGCCTTCATACTTACCCAAAGAACAACCTAAATTGCAGAAATCTTTTATATGGTAAACACTATTATTTGCTATACAAAAACTCTTTATATCTAAATATTGATATGCAGCACATCTTTCATTTCAGGCTTCTACCCTACTCCAGTACTCCTTTGAAAGTCTAACTAAAGCAGCATTTTTGTATTTAAAGAAAAGTAACAATCAGGCCAACAACTATAGCCCTTAGAACGGAGAAGCCACCAGGGCTCTATTCTGCTTGTATGTATATTACATAAATATGTCCATGTATATCCCCCAATACAAGATGTCTCTCAATGTAGGTTTAATAAGCAGCCTCTTTGGGAAATTGTTTCTGGTAGCTGTACTTTCCCCTTTCCTTGCTAAGACTTTGACACTCACTACATCTTCCTTAGTGTTCTAACTCTGTGGCAGAATGCATTTAAACTAATTGTGAGTGGAAGTGTCAACTACATTATCAAAAATTAAAATTTCTTTGCCATTGCTCTATACAGGACTCCTGAGTTCACTGGGTGTTTGGCAGGTGCTCCTCCACTGTGGCATATCACCACCCTTTCATGAATTCTCAGGACCTTTTTAAATACCTAATGTGCCTAGAAATGTAGAAAGATAGTAGAAGTTGAGATCATTACAAAGATTTAAAGCAAATGTTTGAGGAGGAATTGTGTGTATGAGACCCTGCATCACAGACATTTGAAGCATTAAGACCCTCCATCTCTTCTGCAGGCAGGTATGAAACCAGGGGGAAAAGGACAGATTTGGACTCAAGATTACAACAGGATCTCACATTACATCAGGATCTGGAGCTAACGTGGGGGACCCCAGAAACCACAATTACGGTGTTTTGTTTTGTTTTGTTTTGTTTTGTTTTGTTTTTCCCATGTTGTACCGGGCTTCAAACTCAGGATTGTCGCGCTTTTTCAGTCAGGCTCTGTGCCGCCGAGCTATTTCCAAATCTCTAACCAACCACAGTTTGGACCAATTCTAATTGGACCTCTTTCAGATTCTGTCCTACTTCATAGTTCCCATCCCAAAACGTTACCATTGCGCAGCTTGAGGGTCTCCTAGAGTCTTTCCTATACAGGCTGTAGCTTGTAGAAGTCACAGAAAGCAGCTCATCCAGCTAGGATCCTCTCCACAATGTGCTAGGGGCTGGCATTTTGGTGCCATGACACCGGAAGAGCCTGCCCCCGTTGCTGTCTCTGATTGGACAGTTTATACAGTTTTCTCCATTTTCATTGATTGACGCATTCTATTGAGTGCTCTCCGAGCCAACTGGAAAACAGAAACAAATCTTTACCTGCAAGAGTGGAACTTGGGTGCAACACTGTAATACCAGAGACTTTTGGACCGAGTTCTCTTACGAAACGTTAATCTCATCTCACCTGCCTAATAACACTTGCATTTAAAGACTTTACCCTACAATATGTAACTTAGAGACCAGCGATTTCTTGCCGTTTGTTTTTCAGTAGTTTTGTATTATTTCTACCCTTTTTTTTATCTCCATGTATTTTTTTTTGTTTCCTTTTCTTTAAATAAAAAAAAAAAAAAGACGTTACCCTGAGGTCTCAGAGTTGACACTATTTTCTAAGAGGACTCAGTGGAGACTCTTTTTGAACATTTCTAAACACAAAAATGTGTTTAGAAGATGGTGATATGCGGGAATGAAACGCCCAACTGATAGAGTTTTCCGCACGAGGAAAGAGAATAAAGAATATAAAGAAACAGTAGCCTTTATTTTAAGGACGAGGAAGAGCACCCCACAACCAAAGACAGCTGAACTTCTTCTGTTCAGGACGTGGGGTATGGGGGACATACATATAACATCTGACCAGGGTTTGCACTTAGGGCAGGAACTGATGATGCGCAAGCAGCTGGTTGGGACTTTTTTCGCCCCGTTGGAAGAAGGAAAAAGACGTTGTCATAGGGGCAGAGGCAAGTGACCTCAAGGTAAACATCCCCTGGTGCCGCCGCCCACTGGGGTAATATTGTATCTAGGGCTAAATCCTTTCACTAACCTACTTCATGACAAATATGAGTTCACGTTCTCTAAAATTGAAGAATAAATTTTAAGAACAATGGAGGTTAATAGTGAAATATATTTCATTATGACTAAATAAATAAAGAAAGCTTTCTATGAGATAGAGAAGGGGTCCTGAGCAGATTGCCAAAATCTGTCTTTTCTAGAGACTACCCTTTTTTGATACTGTTAATCAAGTTCACAACCTCACTCTTGTCAGATAAGCATTTATGCCACTGAGCTAAATACCCAGCATCTTCTATAGGCTCTCATAAAATGAAGTCCTGAGGTTAAATAGTTCCAAAGTGGGGGAAAAAGGGAACTCACAAGGTGGGCAGAAGGCAGAACAAAATTTTGGTCAACCAACATTAGTGGCTCAGGTAAAACTGATTAAATGAGGAAAAAACGGGGGAGTGACTAACATAGTAAGTAAACACAGCAGTGGCTCTTCTTGTATGAGTCAGAGTACTGTCACCTGTCTTCCTCAGAGTCATAAAGAGCTATTTGGATTGTTGATCCTTAGGATGTGGTTGTGTTGTATGAGCCTTTTAACTTGAAGTCTGGAGCAAAGTGGGAGGTGATTGTCTCTACCAAGGCTGCAAGGTATCTGAACTTCCATTCCTTCTCCTATGAGGGATCAACCCTGTTTGACTACCTATTAAGTAGTCTAGTCAAGAAGCAATTCCTTTATGTCAGAAAATAACCTGACTACAGGCCAACCCAGGACACAGTCAGTAAAGGAGACCTCGTTGTTTGAGAGATCAATATTTGGCAATGACATAACTGGCTTTGATCTGAAGATTTTCACACGATTTCTTTCCATCTATTAATTTTCAGCTAAGAAAATGAGTATCAGCCCTATAAAAGGAAAAAAAAAGCATTCAGAATAAATCAAAGAAATATTCTGCAAAAGAGCAAATATGAAAAGAACAAACATTTGACCTCTTCCACACAAATTTGCTGCTCATTGAAAGTCAATCCAACCAGACCAGACTTTTCAACATAAGCATACTGCCAAGCCTGAGGGTCAGAAGTGCAGCCCAACTTCTCATCCACTGAACTATTTCCTTGTGATGAGCAGGAAATCATAAGGGCTTCCCACTGTAATTTTTCTGTTCTCACAAATTGAAATATTACCCCTTTCAAGACATTAATCTTCCTAGAAAGAACATATTGGCTCATGCCATGTAATATATTTGTTTTGTTTTGTTTTGTTTGTCTTTTTCGTTTTTATCAGTACCAGGGATCGAACTCACGACTGCCTGCTTGCAAGGCAGGCGCTTATGCCGCTGAGCTAAATCCCCAGCCCCTCATGCCATGTAATATATTTGTTAACACAATTAGCTTAAGAGATGCATAAGATATTAAAAGAGCATAATTCTAGGTATGTCTGGTGGGTTTCCTATGACCCACTAAATCTGGTCCCTGGATCCTTTCTCTTTGGCTCCTTCTGTAGTTTCGTGCCTGGATGTCATAAAGCAGTTACCAGTGTTTTTACTTCTATTTGTCAAGATGTTTCTACATTGGAAACAACCAAAAGCAAACTACAACCTGAAACAATGAGACAAAGTGAGCCGACATTTCTTAAATTCTGTGTCTCAGGTAGTTCATCCCTGTAGCTAAGTAACTCAATACATAAATAACAGAAAAACCTAATAAAATTCGGTTAGGTGTCTCTCCTAAGTAATCTTCCAAATACATCAATTGCTTTAATCATATAATTGATTGAATAATGTCTTCTAATGTATCATATATATATATATATATAAGAAGGAAGTCACTGGAGGTGTGCTCTACCAAAGAGGATACCATTCATAATGCTGTGTGTATTACTGATTCCTGGTTGTGAGGATTTGACCAGGTGTTGTTTTTTTTTTTTTTTTTTTGCATGCTTTTCTGTAATTCCAATTTTGGGTAACCCAACTTTAATTCCAAATATTTGTAATCATTTCAATCTTTCTTTTTTTTCTGATTTCTTTTTGATATTTGGAACAGGACACAGAAACCATTAGCTCTCCCTGTATCCTACTTTGTAGATTCTTCTGCACAATATTCAGGAATACAAAAAACTATTGCAAAACGTTCAAATTTACAATTATACTTCTACATAGAATTATAGAAGATGGACTAAATACACAATGAATTAATAACTTTTGGATGTGATGATTTATGTTATAATATCAGTTCTTCATACTACATCTTTAGTATGGCAGCAACTTGAAGAAACAAGACATCATGGTAGCCACTGTTAATTTTCCAGCCGTGTAGTTTTGAAGGCCTGTACTGGTATGAGTTTTCTATTTTGATCACTTATATACTATTCTGTTTTATTTGAATAAATTTTGTGTGAAAATATAGACAACTATTTCAAAAATGAGAAATTATGATAGCCACTGTTGATCTCCTATTGTCTTGCTTTGAATTCTTGCATCACATGCATTGTATTCTCCTGATCTGCTTTGTTCTCTGCTATTATGTCTTGTTTTGCCCTCTTTAAAGTAAAAAAAAAATGTATCTTCAATATAATTGTATTTCTGATATCAGAGAAAGCATAGAGAATTGGACAAAGATTCTCCTAAATTTCTAGGGATAAACAGAGGTTAATACTGTAGTACAGAAATTTTGGATAAAAGAAGAAAAGAGAGGATGCATTCCCTTTGCCTAATTCCTTGGCCCCACTTAAAATCAATTATTTAAATGGTAACCTGGAGCAACAGGCACATATATCAAACTGACAACAAGAACTGAGAAATACTTCTGCTGGATTCAAAACCAAGGCTTGATAAGACTGCCAGCATAAATGCAAAGAAAGTGGCCTTAGAGCCATTTTGAAAAAACAGCTACTTATTTTTAGACCAATTACATCTCATTTCTAATGAGCACACAAGGAAATGTTCAGTGCAAACAGATTCAGCACAAAATATGAAGTACATATCTGCTAGCTGTACAAAATATATGGTAGAAACAACTTGCTAATCTAGGATTAAGCAAAATTTCAAATATAAGATTGCAAATCTACAAAAGATAAAGAGATTTTAAATATATATGTGTGTGTATGTGTGTGCATATATATGTATATATACACATTCACATAGGCTTATACACAGCAAACAAAATAATGATTTAAATTTGCTTCAGTTGGAAAAGTATCATTGAGTAATGATGGAATATATAGAGCAAGCCAAAAAAATCAATTATATCAAAATAAAAACCTTCAGCACAAAAATAAACATAAGATATAAGCAAATTACTTAGGAATGTTCACATATGAAAATAACAGGTAAAGTTAAGGAAGACAGGCAAGTGAAAATGAGCAATGGAATTTAACTTTCTCTTTATAGAGTTCGTCAGATTAGAAAATGGCCAGTGTACGTAGCCTAGAAGTAGATAATATCACACACAACTAAGAGGTTGGAAGGTGTGAATGAAGAATAGCATGGTGAGTGCAGTACCACACACCTGTAATCTGAGCTGTTGAGAATGGTAGGTCATGAGGATTACATGTCTCAGCACTGTCTAACCAAAGTAGTGACACCTTGTTTTTGAAAAAATTAAACACATATTTTTTAAGTGTTCAATTGCATACAATGTCTGTAGACCTGTAAAATACCACAAATGTCTATAATATTTTCTCAAATCCTCTACATCACCCAAAACAAGATGTCTGCAGAATTTATTTGAGTGAGAGAATTGGAAAAGGCTGCTTTCCCATTGCAGGAGAAAATACATATTAAGTGTTTTGAAGGCAAGTAGTGATCCTGGCAGGAGTGAGGTGTGCATACAGTAGTACACATACAGAGGTAAGTGATGCTATGTAAATTGAGATGAGCATGCTACTACTTCAATTTTGGTAGATGAAAAATTTGAGGTGATTTCTGAGTAAAACTCATGTATAGTGCTGTGAATATTCTATGTTCAGTAGGCAAGATGATAAACATGTACATTAGACAATGGCCTATAATCTGATAATGAGGAGGAACATATTAACAGCACAATAAAAACTCACATACAACACTGTTCCTAGTTACATGTGGGCAACTATTTTCTTTGGACAGAGGTATCTCATCTGTTGTGTGATACTAAGCATCATACATAATACCACCACTACCACAAGATGCTATAGGGAACCAGGCCCAGAGTCCTGATTGATAGTATCAAG